TCATTTTCATCACATTTTTATTTTTTGAAATAAAAATGAGCGAAATCCACACGTTTAGTGTTATTATTTTGGGTAGAAAAGTTTTGTGTTTTCAGTTTGAAGGTGAATAAGAGAAAAACAAATGATTGTGACATAAGACAGGTAAATTAATATCTTGAAAGGTAACGTATTCTTCCTAATTCAGCATTCAAAGGTGAATAGAATTGAGAATTCTTGTTTGAATCTTATACACATAAAGGGCTTGCTGGCAGACGCTCGTGGTAACCACGAAAGAATAACTTGTTTTATGGGGAAAATTTGTATCGTTTACCTTATTTTGAGCTTAAAGGTTTCGACATCATACAGCATAAGAACTATGTGTTCGCTTAGTGAGTTCGTAATACATACAATTTTTATACGTACACATCTTGCAATAAAAATACTGAATTCGAATGTTTGCAACGTTATTTTTTTATTTTTCTCATGAGAATTTCCTCGTGGATATTTCAATACAGGCGGCCAAATAGAACTGTTTTAAGCAGGTAGTCTATCACAGACACCCGTGGAATTGCAATTTTGTGAACAGCATGTTGAAGGATCCATGCACTAAGAAAATAAAAAAAAATATTTGTGATTATCCAGTTAGCCTATTTGACTATCAAATCTATGGGTGAGATTGAGAGTAGTGTATGTTTGATTGACTTTGTTACGAAAGAGAAGAGCAAGTTTCTGTCGACTTAAAAATGGTTAAAAGCGAGTATGTTCGTTTTTAGCGGGTCCTCGCGGTTTTTCACGGTTTCCGTGGAACTGATAAGAGATAACAACTTGGTGTCTTCGGCAAAATTGTAGCACTCGAGGTCTTCTATAACATCGCTGAAGGCAGTTATCTCTTATCTCTTATCAGTTCCGCGAAAAGCGCGAAAAATGATAAGAAAAAAAAAGTTCTATATAAAATTTGCTTTTTTATGTGCGCGATTTGCGCGCAACTGATAAGAGATAAGAGATAACTGTCTTCAGCTTAGTTATATAAGACCTCAAGTACTACAACTTTGCTGAAGACACCATGTTGTTATCTTTTATCAGTTGCGTGAAAACCATGAAGACCGCGGAGGCTAGAGGGTACTACAACATACTCTACTTTAACGCCAACAGAATCATCAGAAAACATACTCGCTTTTTCAAAAATATAAATCGAAGAAAAAACATACTCCACTCTCAATCTCACCCATAGAAATGTTAAGAATGATTTTAGTTTTCGTGGATATTTTATATGATGAAATTTTGATTTTTCTGAGGGAAGTGAGGTCAATCTGTTCGAGAAGATTCACTAGAATCTCAACAATCACTGCGAATGAGATTTGACATGCATCATTCTCGATTTTTCAACCAATTAGTATTGAATTAAATATGGTGAAATGAAACTAAGAATGGAGTGTTTTTTTCCCAAAATAAATATTCATATGTATATATCATGGAAGTGAGCGTCAAACTTATGGATAACATTTTTAGACAATAAAAACTTTGTGGAAGAAAAAAGAAGCAAAAAAAGTTGTTAACAAAACTTTTGCAAAAAACATTTTTTGCTCCTTTTTTTCCTTGAAGTTCTTTCTGTTCTAACTTTGAAAAAAATGCGCATAGGATTAACTCTTGTTTCCAAGGTATGATGTGAAAATGATGGAGAGTATACAAATAGTTGTTGTATTTTTTTCGATGCTTTCAACAAAAATGCCCACAAACGAAACTCCGCAGTACTAAAAAAGATTCAACATATGAGGCCGTGAGAATGAAAATGGCAATACAGGAATAAACATTCTGAAACGCATCAAGAAAAAAAATTCGCAAAAATGAATCATGAGTTCTGAATATGCAAAAGTGAAACATGAATTTACATGGGCAGCATAGGAGGTTCATGGTTCACTTTTGCGTATTTAGAACTCATGATTCACCTCATATATTTCTCTGAAAATTAAATCAACTTACAGTCTGACCGATTTCTGAACAGTGCACGCAATTTCTATTGATGCACACACCAAACGAGCAGCAAAACTTGTGTTTGTTGCACTAGGGAAATATTTATAATTTATGACAATTTCAAAATAAATGACATCCAAAAAAGATTCCTGTCCAAATTAATTCCCTTACCGACTCGCCGAAATTACGGCACTCCTTGTGCTAAAAACATGATTGATAATTTTTGAGTATATTTTAATGATTGATATTTAACATGGATTGCTTCAGAATGAATCAAATTACTTTTAAATCTTGAGCTACGATTACACTTAAAAGTGCAAGACAGCAAGAAGTCACCAGAATGATCTTCGTTTTCATCAGACACATTGTTATCGAGATTGATACTTATAGTTCTAGAAGAATAGGAGAAATTGACCATTAACTCATTCAACTTATTGCGTATTTATTATATATTCACTTAAAATTAATTTGTCTCAATTCACTCAAAATTAATTAAGAAATCTCGGTTTCTCGTTAAATTCCCGGATTTAAAAATCCTAAAAAATTCACTTTCAAATGCAACATTCAAGCATTTTAATGCAAAATCAATTTGCAAATTAGTAAAAAGTAAAAAGAAAAACAGTTGAAAAAAAATCGTTTTGAATTTTAACACAAAAAAACATGAGTTTTTTTTTACAATGAAATAATAAAGTGTCAAGATAATGTACAAAAAGATAATAATCGATCAATCGATGATAAAAATGTTCAAATTGATTTCAACTCACCGTCCTAAACAATAATGAATTTCTTACGATCGAGCAAACCGTATGTATATTGTATACTTCTACAAAATGAAATATTTGATTAAACAAAAATACGTATGTGTATATTTAACATGTGGTAAATCATATGGGCTCGAAATGATAATGCAATTTCGATATTTTTAAAGAGAAAAGTGGTTAAAAATATTTGTTTTAAACGACTCGATCATATGCGATCGTAAATGCTTCAAGGATTTTTCAGTGGATGTAGGTATAGAAATCAAGTGTGGCTCATATATTCCAACATTGATTTACCCTGGACTACGGCAGATTTCGAGAAGTATCCAAGAATATTGTTCGACATTTCAGGCTCATACATGGGTTTGATGGATTTGAAATGATTCAAGGCGAAAAGTTTTTTTCTTCAAGAGGTCAGTTAGAGGATAATCGGAAGACGACTGAATTTAACTATTTAACTAATTAAAAAAAAATGTAACCTAAAATAATAATCTTTATATTAAAAATTAGAACATTGAAATGTTTTCTTCGAATTTGACAAAATTTCTTCATCATAAATGAAGCAACTCAAGTTGTTTATTTGCGCTTCACAATTTATTTTTCACAATTTATTTTATTCTCGAGATAAGTCATTCAAGATCATCAAAAATATTCCATATTTTCGGAATTATTTTTGTAAACGTTATTTATTCTATCCGAATGACGAATTTTTGCTTGGAATTTTTTTAGCGTTTTTCAATTATTATTTTTTATTGGCACTGGGAATGGTGTGAATGGTGTGAATGGTCTTGTAGCCGTGCACACATTAACATGCATACGTGTCACATGGAATCTAGGGGCTTCTATGTCGGTTTGGCATTCGAATTTTTATTCACAAATTCGCGCTCAGTGCCATGCATTCGCAACGCTGCCATATGATTTCTATGTAAACATTCGAACTCGCATTCGTATAGCAATCGTATTTTGCTGTTCTCGAAAAACGTTAAACCATTTGACATTCGTTTCTATCAATTGAATAAATTGCCAGCATGTACGGTTGCCCTTTGTATTTCATAAGCTAGAGAATTGCTATATGTGTTTTTCAGGAGCATAACCATATAACTCAGAACAGTTTTATAGCAGCATCGAGCACTCAAGCATTCTTGGTCTGATCAAGATTGGTCATATATGTACAATTATTGACTGAAATTGTAATGTATTACAATCACATTTATGTCAACACTCTTAGTAATGAGATGGTCACGAATTTGTTGGAACTTAATCCACAATTAAACAAGCTTCGTATCGAGTCAATTGATGCATTGAGTATAGATTTGATTCGGAATGCAATCGATAGTTTGTAGAAGATTGAAGATCTTGGACTTGTTTTAGATCCCATAATATTTATCAGCGGAAAAGACAATATCATACACTTGAACAGGGAGGGTTAAATCAGTTGTCATCGATTCTGACCAAAGAGATTCCATTTCCAGTATGTGCGCTACTTTTTGCATTTGAACAACTCGATAGATGTCACTTACATTTTCCAGAAGCAAGACACTATAGCACTTTGAAGGAACAGTTCTTCGGCTTTATTGAAAAACATTCAACTATAACCCATTTAACGATTTCCATACTGAGATACCACTTAGATACAATTGGCTGCATATTTACCATTATTGGTTGAGATTGAATTACGTTTCAGTCAATTTTCAACCGATGAAGTCATCCAACTTATGCCGAAATTTCCGATGTTAAAACAACTCAAAAAACCTTGTACAGCTTGGCGTCATTCCCTCCACTTCCATTTGTTTGCAACGATGTTTGAACTTTGACAATGGGAATTAAATGCGAGTGGAGACGCCATAAAAATGACTCCAAAATCGTCGATTAATGATCGAACTACTTCAAAGATAACAATAACTATGACGTTCTGTGCAAGCGATTGGGTAGCCAATGGAAAACACACAAAAATGATTCAATCGGGATGATCACAATTGAACAAAGAATTAAATAAACTATAGCTTCGAATTACATCAAAAGATAAATAACAGTGCATCATCCAATTTTTATTTTTCTTAATGAACATTTAGTGCTATTATTTTTGTACAATTTGAAAATGTATTTTACGTGAATTAAATACAATAAATTCATTGGACAATGTAACGTATTTTCTTTACAAAAAAGTTCTACTTGATAAGTTTTCGCAAAAAAATAAATAAAACTCCATTTTATTCCTTTTTCGGTAACAAAACTGATGAAATCAAGTTCAATCAAACCTAACTCAAAAATCAATTAGATTCGAAATGTGGGCATTACCATCTAGGTAAGCAGTTTATTCTACCAACTAAATCTGTATGCTTCACATGTTTAGGCATTTATTTACAATTCAAACACACTCCAAAAATGGAACGATCGAATAAGATAGAGTTCTAAACTGCAAGAATAGTACAACTATTCTTGCAGTCATGGTACTCCGTAGAATATTCAATCAGTTAAACAAATTTTACTTAAATCTATCAATTTATTTACAATTCGTCTTTTTCCAAACTACGTGTTGGTAAATGTGCTCCAATTTCACGCCAAAAGTTTGCACGATCGTGGAAAATGCCGTCCACTTCCATACCGAATAATGGTTTGCCATAATGGTTTGTATTTCCAATTCGGTAATATTTCAGTGGAAACCCGTTTGCTTTTTCCCATTTCGGTAAGTCACTTGAATCCGGCGTTGGATTTCTAGTGAAAAAAAAGTGAATCATTCGTAAGTCAAAAAACTTAAATGAGAATTCAAATGTTCACTTGAACTTACCCAGTTCGAGCAAAATTCACCCATAGCTGTGTAATCGCTTTTCGAACTTGTTCGTCTTCTTTTGTTGGCAATGCACTTATGAACAGCCCATCGGCAATTGGGAACAAATATTGCAGCTCTTCAGCATGGCTTACACCTGAGAGTGGAAATTTTATACGAAATTGTAATTAAACCTCTGTATAATGATTAATATAAATATGGTCTTGGTCATTATGGAGTGACGCATTCAAATTTAAACTAACCATAGTAATTTTCACGTCCACCTTTGAATATTTCAGTAAAACTAGCGGATCCCTTGTGCGTGAACAGATAAACGTAGGTTGGTGCAACCTTCTTATGGGAAAGTCTTAATTCCAAATACTGATCCATTGCTTCTAGGAACCAAGCGTCGGTGAACAACTATAAATTGAGACAGAATTTGTTGAGAGCAATATTCAATGGTCGAATCGTTTTCGTAGTTTATGACACAAATTTCGGAATAAACTGAGAACACTTACATTTGTAACATTTTTCTCTTTTTCTTTCGATAAACTATTGGCGAAATAAAATTCGTTGATTTTCGTTGTAATATATTCTTGAACAAATGAATCGTGGTGATCATAATTTAAAGCTATTGGTAGTACGGAATTCAAATTTTCCGAAAAGTCATCGAATAATCCAGGTAAATTGAATAAAGCTAAAAAGCCACCAAAAATCAATTATTAATTTTCATAAAATTGATAAATCTTCAACCAAAACGATTGAAGCGAATGATTTCCAACTTACGAGCTGATTTCATAGCGCCTTCATCGTGTGTTAACCCTGTCATGAATGGAATGCTCAGCGAATTTTCATCGTGTCCTTCACGCGGATGTTTTGTAATGAATGCACCAGGAATGTCAGGCTCAACGACAGGTGGGAATGGAATCATTGGATCAGTATCCCACATCTAGAATAATTTGAATAATGAATTGATGAGATTTTATTGAGAAAGTCTTTGAAATAAATTCGACATGAACCGTTTGTTTCGAAATTCACTAAAAAAGAATATGTTTGATTTTCGCTTGGTGTTTAACAATTTTAGAGATCGTATTTTTTTTTCATTGGAAAAAATTTAAATTAATCAATAAACCACTTGTAATTCAATGTAATGTTACTATTTCGTTATTACATTTGAAAACTGAAAAAAGGATCGAAAGTTGAACATTTTTTTTTAATAGTTGATATTTCAAACTCACTGAGGATGGAAGCATTGCTTCCGAAATGTACATCTGAGTGTAACTCAATAAAGTGTATCATTTGTTGAATCAAAACAATTTTTCTATTAAATAAAATACACGATAAAACCTCAAAATTAAAAGATCAATTTTTTTTTACTCACAAAGAAATCATAAAAAGCGGCCGTAATATTTTCAGCGGATACTTGTCGCAAACAGTCGAGTGTGTTGGACCAATTATTTGGTTCATAGCATTTAAATGATTCAGCTAGTTTAGCGGCACGAGCACTTGCAACCCCCTTATGTGCTGGCTGTGACCAAGCAGCTAAATTCGTTCCGGACTGTGCAATTGCTTTCGAGAATAAACCTAAGCGAAATCGATGTTGAAACATTTACGTTGAACATTTACGATGTTGAAAATAATCGTCACATTGAAAATTCACTATATTAAAGTTGACAAAATCGATTTCAGCTGATTGATTTTCAAACAGATCGATTTGTATCTATTAGTTCAGATTGAACGAAACCACAAACATCAATGTAACCACTAAATCAACCACAATATAATGTATACGGTTGCATTTTATTTAGTACATTGCACAATAATACCTTTTGCGAGTGGTGACATCATCAGATAGGTTGCACTTGCACCGCCTGCCGATTCACCAAAAACTGTAACACTGTGAAAATTGACAATTTTATCAATTCAATGAATGCAAACATTTCACATTTTTTTATACCTTTTAGGATCGCCACCAAATGCTTTGATATTTTTCTGAATCCATTTCAAAACCAACACTTGATCTTTTAGACCGAAATTTCCGGGACAGTCCGGTGTTTCGGTGCTGAGAAAACCGAGCGGACCGAGTCGAAAATTGGCTCCAATGTAAATCACATCATGATCGAGCAAATGATCCGGTCCATAAAACGGACGAATGCCTGAACCACATTGAAATCCACCGCCGTGGAAGAATACCATGACAGGCAAATCGGTTTTATTACTATCGAACTATGAACGCGTCAATAAAAATAAAAATCTCGATTAATTATTCATTTATTCAACGACCCAATTAAAAAGAATTTAATGCGTAGCAATTTGCATACTCACCGAATGTGGTGCATACACATTCAGATGTAAACAGTCTTCGTTTCCTTCAATTTGCTGATCTCGCCGGAATGGATCGCGTTGAACACATATCGGGCCATCTTTCACTGCGTAAAATTCACCTTCCCATTTCTCCGCTGGTTCCGGTGCCTATTTAAATGAAAAGTTCCGATTCCGTTATTCATTTCAGCTCATTAAAATACAACACGATCATTATAAACGGCTTATCGTCGATCGGAATGAAAACGGACGTCTATTACATCGTATTGAGTAATATTTCAAAGCAACACATTCCTTTTGAATAAATCCATTTCAATTTATGCGATTATACGGGATAAATCTGTGACAGTTACGTAGTAAGGTGATAATTGATAACAAAATTGCGATCGATTAAGCAAACATATAAACCATGAATAAAATTGATTGGAACATTTCTATGGATTACGATCGAAAAGTGAGAGAAAAAACCAATTTATATTATCATTTTTAATTTTTTTTCTTTAATTTTCTTCTTTTCAACTTTGATTTTTTTCATTCTTGGATTAATTTTGTATTTTTTTTTTTAACTCAAAATCGTTTTTTTTGGCTCTTCTTAATAGTTCCTTATAGCCTCAAATGTTTCATTTTTCGCAGTTTTCACTCAATTTTTCTCCGATATTTTTTTCATTTAACAAAATGTTTAATCAATACGAAACAGCTGGGACAATCATCACACAAATGCCAAAAACTCAAAATAAGCCATTCATTGATAGCCTTGAAAAAAAAGCACCAACATTTTGTTTTGTTCAATATAAAAAATCTTTTTTTGGTGTACAATAAAACACACATTTCTTGTTGTGAACGTTGTTGTTCAGCACAATATGATTCACCATAATCATAATCATGTGTGTTTTGTATCTACATAAATGGGAAATTTATGTTTATAAATAATGTTCATTACTTTAAATCGTAGATGACCAATCGGTGGCTTTGAATATGGGATTCCCAAGAAACCTTTTATCGATCGACCGCTGTGCGAACGCAAAGTTCGGCCAACCAACTTGCTTTTGTCGGGTAGTGTAATTCGCAGTTCATCGGACGTTCGAGCGGAAATCAAATCGAATACACAAACTGACAAAACGATTGCCACAACCGAAAATTGCTTATTCATTTTTGGACACTGTTTAAATTATAATGGATTTTATTTTGCAATTTTTTCAATTTTTTTTTTTTGCTTTCAAATTGTTTCAAATAATTATACTTTATTACACTTTAATTATATTTCATTTAGCTTTATGTCATTTTATTTTATAAAAAATTATATTTAAACTTGAACGTTTATAACTTGTAATAAATAAATTGGCGACCGTTCGGCAGCCAACTGAGGTTTTCTTTTCGTAAAATTTAATCGCTTTTGCAAAAGCGACCAAACGCTACAAGACTTGGCGATAAAATAGCGCAATCGACCACGATAGGAATTAATGTTCACGAAACGCACAGTATTTAGAGATTCATTGGCTAGCGCCAATTCTCTGATTTGTTTTGAATGGTGGGGAAAAACACTAATCATACAACTTTGAAGAGAGAAAAAAAATTCTCTTGTGCAAATATCACGCACCAAAACGAGTTTGCGAAGCAAATTTGCAATAGTCACGATTGGATTATTTTTTCATTGATAGTTTTAGAGAAAGCTCAAAGGTTTTTCGAAGACTTATTTTTGTTTATTTCTCTCTTCAAAATTTAGAATTCGACGTCAATACAATTGGATAATATTCGGCATTGTCTGTCGTGTTTGACATCTCAAAATGTTTATGTTACCTTGTAGCAGGCAGAATGGATTACATTTCATTGCGGAGTTTTTTTTGTGTGTGTGTTTCACCTTGCCCAACATGAATGGTAATGTTTCTCTGGCTCTTTACCTTGTTAGACACCATGAGGTGCTAATAATAAATTAACATTTCAGTTAGAATTTCATTCAGCTGTCATGCTATTTATAGTTGTTTTGTTGCAAAAAGTGGCATTTCAAATCTAATGACTTAATTAAGTTTGGTTTCTGACGTTTAGGTGACATATTATGGCACTTTTCTAACCATTTGCCACTTTTTGTGTGTTTTTTTAATTAGCACGCTTGTGTTTTTCTATTATAAACCAATTACAGTTTTTTTTTTCAATCGAAAACTTAACGAAAAATTAATGCTCGATCGATATTAAAACAGTGATAAATTTACAAATCAATTTTTTTTCTCCGCCCTGATCAATTATCAGTGTCGTTATGCTACTGAAATTATACGGTTTTCAATTGGTTTTTAATTATATGGCCACTGTTTTTGATTAGTGTTCAATTATAAACTCGCAATTCGCGAATATTTCAGAATTTTTTTGTCTGTTTAAATTTAAACTTAAGTTAACACAATCAGTTTTCAAGAATCGTAACGATCGTGAACGATTTTATGTTAATATTTCTTTTATTTTTCATTATTTAAAGAAATTAACTCGAATTATGCATTTGTGGTGCAATTCGAAATGACAACAAGGATGCACTTACCGACTCATGGCATCTTCGTGACTCTTTTGGGGATTTTCGCACTTGGACGCGACGTCATCGCTGGAAACTTGCAATAACACTTAAATATAGAGTAATTGGAAAGTTGGCAGCTCTTTTGAATGCATGCATTTATGAAATGGTTGCATAAATCATAATTACTAAAACGATCCAATTAGCCACAAAATCCCAATTACATACAATTTAATGAACGTTTTGCTCGTCATAAGGAGAGACATACACATCATAAGGAGCGAATATCTCATTAATTATTCCGTTCTTTCTCTCTTCTGTTTACTTATTAGATATGCCTCTCTCTTTCGTTATAATCTACCAATCCATTATGAAATGAACGCATCGATATCGGATAACGCATACTCACTTCTTGTTCTGAAGCGGTTTAATGGTTTAGAAGTAGATGCAGTGAAGGTTAATTAACCATTGCACATTTTTCGGCATATTAGGCGACTAGTAACATGTTACTTTTTCACAATTTGAAAGAATTGACAAACAAGTTTTTATTGGACATCACATATTCAATAGCGATCTTTAAGTAACACTCGACGCAAATAAATTAAGTGAACGTAATTATCTGCATTGCCCTGCTTTAATTCAAAAAAGCAATAGTATGAAATCAGCGTTATGTTAAATGTCATTTAAAACCCCCTACTCTGTGCACAGTAAGTTTCAACATATCAAGTGGCATGCATCTTATAGAGGTTACTCAAATTACCCAACCACTTTTTGTCACTACGGAAGAGCATCAATAAAATAAAAAGTCGATTGCGAAGGTCGTTTCATAGAGAATATCGAACGAAATTCAATTATGCGACGTCATTAGTTCGATTTGCAATAACGTTGAATTTTGACAAGATTTACACTTAAAAAGAAGCGAGACAGTAACAATTCAGACATTCACCTCATTCGTTGAAATGGTTTGAGAATTTCCAGAAATGCGAGCAAAAAAAAAGAAAGAAGAAACAAGAAATCACGTGAATTTAATTTATGCATGGAATTTTGGTGGCATCAGGTTCTCTACTACTTGAATTCTAATTCCAGTTTTAATATTGCAAACAAAAAAAATTTGTTCAAAGCTCTTGAAATGAAGTCACAATGTCAATGAAAGTAAATGTTTGTTCGATTTCCGCATATATTATTACCAACGAATTGACGTAAATGTACTTACGTTCGAGTACTCGCACGTTTTACTTCAATGGTTCAATAAATCAATGAGAAGAAAAAGTTCTAAGGAACAACGCATTTTTTTTTAAGAGTATGAAGCTTTATATTGTGACGTATTAAACACTCATAGAAAAAAAAATTCTGAACAAAGTTTTTTATTCGAATTAATTTTGTTTGTTCATTCGGAACGAGCCTCAAGGTGATCAAAATCAATTAGGCACGGTATTTATTGCCTTTAGCCGAATAATTTTCAATTTGGTTGAACAAGTGTAATTAATTGAATTTTAGATTTATTTGGAACTGATGATGTATCAAGGAACAATTTATAATTCCGGAACAATGACAAAGGTATTTTTTTCATCGACCTCGTAAAATATTTATTCAAGATTTCTTTGAATAAATTTAGCACATTTTTTATTCTTGTTTGAATTTAATAAAGTCAGATTCATTAGTGAATATTAATTTATCAAAAATTGAAACAATTGATACAATTCATATTTCATTCATTGTGAAAAAAAATTGAACTGAATTGCTTTCTCCAATTTTATGGGTAAATGAAAGAAATGAGTGTTTATAATTACTATAAATTTGGTATAAAAAATGCAATCGAATTTTCATTGGAGTTCCATTCTATGGTGTTGGTGCAACAATGGCTGCAACACAAGCTGCTTCACATACACCGAATGCTGCGTTGCAAGCGGCCAATGCTGGGGTAGCTGCAATTACGGCTCCTATGGAAAATGATCAATCGTATTAGAAATAATTAAGTGAGAAAATTCATAAAGATGTGTCGCTGAGCATAAAAATGAATCTCCAGTCGACATGAATGTAACATGAGCTGCGGATGCTACAGTATTCTTATGACGCGCTTCAGTGTGGCGCAAATTCATCTTGAGTTTTTGAGAATCTACTTGTTCATGTTACGTTCTTTCGCATATTTTTTCGATTGCTCTGTTTATGTTGTATTTTTCCGTTTGATTTCATTCATTCAAAACACCAAAGTGATTTCAATGTGTCGATTACACCAATGGATTTTGCACACAAAATACTATATTAGAATCCAAAAAAAAATGTTTAACTTTTTTCGATTTTCGGCTGTGTTGCGACCGTCTACATGGGAAGTTTCCATGAAATCGTCGGAGTGCCGGTGAGATAACATTGGTTTATACGGTAAAATTTGCACATGGCCGAATTTTAATTATTATGCAAGCATAATCATTTAAACTCATCATTTGTACAATCGGCGGCTCCGAATATTTCAATTGAACACATTGGTTTTGGAAAAAGTAAAGAATGTTTGCATAAATGGTTAAAAAAATGAAGTTCTTTCGAATAAATGTCAGCATTAAACAGAGAGCATAATCGAGCTCCGCTTATTGTACAGCATCACCATGAACTAACGGGATATCTAAAACCATAGCGCTTGGAAAATAACATTCATAACACGCTTACACCGACTCAGTGACGTCACCCATGCAAATCAATTATTTTGATTTGCATTGGTATTAGTTTTCTCCATTGAATCGGCACCAGCGTGTTATGAATATTTGCTGTTGATCGAACAGCACAGATTCTTTCACTCTCTCCGATGCGTTACAATTTCGCAATGTTCGTTTGGTTGCCGTATTTCATCCATGTTATTTTCCATCAGAGTTTGACTCAGGCGACAGATATATGCTTTAGCATAGAAAAAATATCCGCATATTTTTTGCTTTGTCCACTCTCAGTATATAACGGCACCCAGCTTCATCGAGTATCAGCA